TTCATACACAACATAATATAGCATTACGTGTCACCGGCTTACTTTGCTTTTGAAAAGGACATGAAGTATCAGGGTTTTATTTCAGAGACGTAAGTAACAAACCAAGTACACTTATTCTAAGTAAAGCTGAACTCCATTAACAAAACACATTGTACTTTCAACTCTAGGATCAATGTCTTTTAAAAAAAAGAAAGAATACACTTGGATGACCTCTCATCAAAGTGCAATTTTACCTAAGAGACTCATCTTCACTTGCCAATGGCACTTAGGAAATTGGAGAACTTGGCCACTTAGTAACAAGCACAGTAAGAATATTGATCGAAGAAATAATAATGTGCTTTACGACAATTTGCGAGTTGGCATTAAATAATATAGACTACTACACAAACCCCAGTAGATATTTACCAGAGGCGTAAGAATTCAATATCTCCTGAGACAGTCCAAAGTCCGTGTCCAATAGAAACTAACCATTAATTGGGTGACCATCGACCCCCTGATTTTGTCCCGGGCGGAAGAACTAATAAAAGTCCGGGCAAAGGAGATGTCCAGTGACCCTCAGACTAAATCTATACCTGGCTCGACGTATGCCCATCAAGTACCGGCTCTTGCCCTACGCTATCCAATAGCTCACGCCAGTTTCATTCGACAGACAGGATTTCTGAGATCGAACATTAATCCTAATGGCAGCTTCAACTTCTGCTTTCAGTATTGGTGGTCCATTTATTTCATTATTTATTACCGGTTTTCTCCTCTATTATCTTTAAAAAGTTCTTCTATGCATTTTGACCATCTGTTTAAGACATCCCCATTGTCCATTAAAATATATCCTCCTTTTGATCTTATGCATCCTGTCTTTGAGCAACCTTTTATCCCACTCACTTCTTTGATTTTAGAATGCATGTATTTGCAGTCTTTGTTTAGGTTCTTCTCTGTTTGTTAACATTGATCATTAACCATGTTTCTTTTGCTTCGTTGCATTTTTTCTTTATTTCACTGTTTAAGATGTTGTACTTTTCCACACTTGATTTTGCCTGTCTTCTCTCTTCCATTAGTTTTAACATGTCCTGGGTCATCAATTTTTTATTTGCTTTTTTAGCTTTCGGGGGGATATTTTCTTCCACAGCTTCTATTATTGGGTCTTTCATTTTCTTCCACAGTTCTTTCGATTTAGTAATGTTTTCCAGAGCTTGAAATGTATTGCTTACATCTATGGAGAAACGTTCTTTCAGTTCTTGATTTTTCTTTAAAAGATGTATGTCAAATTGTGATTGGTACTTTGACTTTTAAAGTTTTTTTCAGTCTCACCTGTCTTTTACACATGACAGGTACATGGTCACTATCACATTCTGCTCCTGGCAGTGATTTAGACGATTTAATTGCATTTCTAAAACGTTTCTGAATAAGAATGAAGTCTTTTTGATTTCTACTTCTATCACTAGGACTCTTTCAAGTGTATTGTCTTCTTGGGTGATTTTCATACCAGGTGTTTGATATCATAAAATTATTTTCTCTGCGCCATTCTACCAGTCGTTCCCCGCGTTCATTCTCTTTACCCAGTCCCCATAGCCCAACTATATCTTCTGTACGTGTACTTCCTACTTTGGCATTAAGGTCCCCCATGACTACTTTTACATTTTGTGATTTTAACTGTTTCATTGCCTTTTCGAGGTCTTCATAAAAAGTCTCAATTTCCTCGTTGTCATGCTCTGATGTTGGTGCATATATTTAGATGACACCCATGTCAAAAAGTTTTCCTTCTAAATTAGTCACGACGACTCTCTATTGCGCAATACAGTAATTAATAACAGTATTTATTGCTGTGAGATTGCACAACAACCATACCCATACCAAATATGGAATGAAAAAGAAATAGTATACTTTACAGCAAAATATAACAGAATAATTGCACAGCACAGATCTTTACGGCGAAAACAGAGAACGTCGATCAAAACGATCATTTTTACCCCAATCGTTGCCCTCGTTTCCTGTCAGTCTCAGCAACAGGGGAGTAGGCCCAAAGAGTTATGCCAAATTACGGCGGTCACCGCCAGAGAGTGTCAATAGTTCGCGTGCCAATTAGTGAAAGCAATCCCCGCAATTTTTACGTCTGTTTCGTCCTGCTGGTGATTGGGAGACGCGTAGGATGACCAGTGGAGTCACATGGTCTCATGGCTTTTTGCAAAGATAGTCCTCGGCGACTGCTAGATAGATAGATAGATAGATAGATAGATAGATAGATAGATAGATAGATAGATAGATAGATAGATAGATAGATAGATAGATGGATAGATAGATAGATAG